AACGATTATGATGACGGTGACCAACAGGTTATGAGTCGCCCAAGCGCTACCGCGGGTATGTCAGAAAGAAATACCGGATCTTTGCCACCGATTGTAAATGGTGTGGCCCCGCAAGCGGAGCTGCGTCTAGATATGGATGGCGAGGTTACCGGACCAGTGGAAAGAACAGAGCTCAGGGGTGGAAAGGGAGTGGGTAGCACTCCTGCTGCAGGGGATTCATCGAGGCCAGACCCGGAGTTATCGAGGACTCCAAGGTCAGCTAGGGACTTTCTGCAAGCACCTGTGAGCCAGTATAGTGATGTTCGTCAGTCTGAAGCTCCCAGCTCGTCCGGGCTAGGAGCTACAGAAACAAGCGTGAGGCCTGAGCAGCGGCCTGCAAGTGATCCGAGGCTTGCGAGAACGGGAGACAGTGTGGAGTATGCGTCGGTTGCCTCAACAGTGACACGCCGAGAACAACAAGGGGCACCGCAGGAATTTCCAACTTCCCAAGGCGGACCGCTCTTTGATTTTCAGGCGATCGAGCAACTTCAGAGACTCCATGCTTCGGCTCCCCAATTACTGGGAGCATCGCCCTTGATGTGGAATCCGCGGCCACCGTCCACCTCATCGAGTGATATTCAAGCTGAAGTACGACGACAGTTAGGCGAAATGGTGGCGGGCTACGAGGAAGAGGCGAGGAGGTTGAGATCTCAAGTTGAGGCTTTGGTTGCTGAGAACTACGAGCTACGTGTACATAGCCAGACAGAAAGTGTACAGGGTAGGAGTTTGAATCCGAGGCAGTGGATCGGAAATCAGAGTGGGTTCCCCAGCTTTGGGTGGTTGGGTAGAGGTTTGGGTTCTCTGATAGGAGGAGCCTCGCCTGTCGCTACCAGGACCTTGGATTTAGGCCTGGACTCCCAGATCACTCAGCTTCCACCGCCTGCCCCTCGACCGGAGGCGCAATGGACTTCTCCCTATCCCACGATTGATCCTCCTCCACCTCCGCCTCAGCCGCAGGATAACCCAGTTAGATCTGGGCAGGTGCAATCTACAGCCAAGCAGCCTCTGCCGAGGCCACCAGCACCCATGCCACCGAGACAGATTGAGGTTAACGACGGTAGTAATGGGGATCAGGTAGGCTATGAAGCTGCCCCTCCTAATTCCCGTCCTTCTCTAGCAGAGCAGATAGGAAGTGTCGTGCCTTCACCCCTTCCAGAAGCACCGCCTCCACCGCAGGATGGCAAGACAGAGGAGGCCCGAGGTGTTGATGAGGTTCAAGGTGATGCAATGAATGTGGTGTTAAAAGGGATAGCACAACTGCAGGGATTGGTGAGTGAGATGTCAACCTCACCGAAGCAAAGTGAGAAGCCAGAGTCTGTAAAGCCAGGCGTGTCCAACTTGCCAGAGTTGCCCACTCCGGGAGCTGAGAGTTGTCTTCTGTTTTCGGATTGGATTCACAACTCAAGGCCCCCCCTTTCGGACATCTCTGATACTAGTGAAGAACTGTGGGAAGGCGTTCTTAATGAAGCAAGCACCTGGTATGCAAAGTACCTGCAACTTGACCCCCTCAGTAGGTTGGTTTTCCAACCAGAGCCCTCAGAGTTCCTCAACAAGCCTAAGTGGTCAAGGGTATCGCGTCGGATCGAGACGATGATCCTGGCGGCTCTTCCGGCAACGGTGAGGCAAGAGGTCAGCGCGTCGAGGGTAAGCGGGTTGTTAGCCGTGATGTGCAAATTGTATGTAATTTACGCACCGGGTGGGATCACGGAACGTGAATTAGGACTGCGTCATATCCAAGAGCCCCCGGCGTGCACTGGTGTCGTTGAGACGATAGAAGGTCTGCGTAAATGGAAACGTTGGTGCCTTAGAATGTCTGAGTTAGGGGGCACTTTGCCCGACCCAGCATTGCAAGTCAAGGCATTGACTAAACTGACTCGTAGTACCTTGCAGTCACACCCGGATGTTTCTTTCAGGGTTAACTTGGTGAGACACACCTTACAGGTGGACGTGAATCCCACAAGTGAGAAGGTTGGCAAGTTGCACGCCCAGTTGTTGAGTGAGTTGGAAATGATTGGCCACAGGGGGCAGCAGGTTAAGGATGCAGATAAGCCTTTGGCCCCAGTACCACAGGCTCCACCAGCTAAGGTGAAGGGTGTTGAGGCAGCAGAAGCCAGTCCTAAGGCACCCAAGCCCCCTAAGACCGCACCAAAGGCACCAAGTCTCCCTAAACCCCCCTCGCCGGATGGCTCACCTAATGGTAAGACCCTGTGCACGTTCTACCTGTCGCCTACAGGCTGTAAGAAGGGTAACGATTGTAACTTCGAGCATTCTTGGAGCGCAATCCCCTTTGAAGACCGGAAGGGTCGCTGCAAGACTTGTGGAGCAAAGGGACATAAGGCCCAGGAGTGCAAGGCAGGCATGAAAGAAGGAGAGGCCAAGGCAAAAGGGAAGGGAGGCATGAAGGGATCACCCAAGGCAGCGGTTGAGGCTATCTCAGTTGTCCCGACTCCGCCACCACCTCCTGCTGCAGACTCACAGCAACAGATAAAGTCGATGCTGGCAGATGCTGCACTGATCTTGCAGCAGGCTATGCCTCAGAGAGAAGGGGCTGTCACCGGTGAGGGTGCTACCCCAGGCGTGCCCATCGCAAGCCCGCCGAAAGCACCTTCCTCTGGAGTGGCGCAGGGGACACCAGTGACCCTAGCGTCCCTCAGTGCGCAGCTGGATTCACTGCGGGCGATGACGCGTGAGTATGAGGCGAAGATGATGAGGTTTGAGGAAGAAAGAGTGAAGGTTGAGGCTGTAGCGTTGTTAGACAGCGGAGCTACTCACCCAGTAGTGCCGTTCAGTGGTGACATGTCAGGCCTCCAGAAGGTTCCTGTGACGCTTGCCGGGGAATCAAAGGAAGAGTGGTTTAGAACTAAAGGGGGAACTCTGGTAGTGCCGCCGAGTGATCCTTCCGAGGATAGGGCTAAACCGCAAACCATTATTCCCCTAGGAGCGTTGGTTGAAAATTTGGGTTGCAGTATCAACTGGAGTAAGAGAGGAGGTTTGAAGGTTAGGCATCCTGCACTGGGTATGCTTAAGACCGGTGTAGGTCGCAATACGTGTCCCTTTGTGCAAGAGGACCAGGCCTTATCCTTGATTGCAGAGTTGGAAGATAAAAGACTTCAGTTGTTCAAGAGTGATGTTCAGGAGCTGGAGTCCCGTATGGAGTTGGTTTCCGCCCCTTTGGACCCCACTGAGGCCCTTCGACGATACGCGGTATCGGGGAAGCGGCCAGCCGCCTTGCGTGCTCTTATCTCACAACCTTACTTAGGGTACTTCAAGGAGGAGACAGTGGGTATGATAGCGGAAGAGTTGATAGGCCTAGATGAGGACTCTGGGAAGCGTATGATGAAGCAGCTTCCACTTAATCGTGCCAAGCGCAGGGCCCTACTATCATCGGAGAGCTGGGCTGTTCATCTTTGCTCCGGCAAACCTCAGGAGGAGAATCCCTTCCGGCGTTGGGCTGAGGAAAGGCAGATACAGCTGTTGGAGGTCGATCTTTTGGCAAAGGGAGGTAAGGGCTGGGACCTTACAGTTCAAGGAGGAGTTTGGAGAGTCCTGCTGTGGGCGGCGGCAACGGGGAGGATTGTGTCAATCTTCTCGTCACCTCATCCCAAGGTGACTGAGACAAAGCCTGCCCTCGGACTGCAGCCGATGTTCCTGTGGTCTCTTGCGTCAGTTGCCAAGGGAAAGGGAATACCCTACGTGTTTGAGGCCCCAAAGAGGTTGGAACAGGAATACCAGAAGTTCTCGACATGGTCCGGAGGTGCAACCTCCCACCTTGATCAGGCAGTGTTTGGGGATGTGTACGCAAAGCCGACCCAGGTGTTTACTAACATCAACCTGGTTTATGCCTCAGAGTTGCCAACTCGGGCTGCAGCCAAAGGTGAAGGAAGGTGTTGGGGTTTAGGGTTCCGGAAGGCTATTGTGAACGCCCTTCAAGGTGAATACCAAGGACCGACGGTTGAAGAGCTGGATCGGGTAATAACCAAGGCCATAAGTCCTAGCCCAGGTAGCTTGGAAAAGGATCCCGACCAGAGTGATGTTGATCAAGGTGACAATGATGTTGAGCTACCAGAGGTTGTTGAGGACCTTGAAGCCTGTGCCCGTGATGATAATCCAGTGCCTAATCCTGAAACCTCTCATGTTGAGAGCCAGAAGCGCCAATTTTCCAAGAAAGAAGTTGACTCCTGGAAACAGCATATCTTGGACGGACACGTCCCTTACAGGAGGGATTGTCGGTTATGTGTGGAGGGAGCAGGCATCGGAATCCAGCATAGGCGTGTTGCTCATCCGCAAATGTTTGCGCTATCGGTCGACCTCTTTGGACCGGTCCCAAGGCATGAGCATGGTAGAGATGAAACTTGTGTTTCTGGAAAGAATAACATTCGGTATGGGTTAGTAGGGGCATTCCGTGTACCCAAGAGTGCGATCCAACACTCAAGGGCTGCCTCGAAGGATGCCGGTGTTGAAGATCTTTTCGGAGATGTCTCGCAGAAGGAGCCTACCCTTCAGGAGGAGCCTATTGAGACCCCAGGTCGGAACCTCATCGAGGATTGTGCCGAGTATGAACCCTCGGAGCCCGGGGAGCCCTTGGATGATGAGATGCGCGTAAGGTTTGGGTTTGGTGATGAAGGGGATGCCTTAGGTCGGGAAGGTTCGTGTCAAGCTGTAGAAGCAGAGGATTTTGAGTCCATGCTTGCACCACGAAGCCCACCTAAGGACCCAGAAGAACTTGAGTCCCTGATAAAGGACTTAAAAACACCTGTGGACCAGATCGTGTTGCGTTATTTCATTCCCTTGAGATCCAAGACTGGTCAAGATGTAATGGAAGGGTTGCAAAAGATGATCTTGGATATCAACAAGAGGTACCCAGTTAAGATCCTTCATAGCGACCCGGGAACTGAGTTCTCATCCTATGCCCTTTCGAGATGGGCTGCGTCTCAAGGGATCAGGGTCCAGCATACCTTGCCTACCGATAAGAAAGGGAATGGGTTAGCAGAACGCATAGTGGGATGGATAAAGAGCAGGGTGCGAACACTCCTTAAGGCAGCCTCCTTGCCGATCCATTGGTGGCCACTTGCCGCCAGGTGGGCAGCACAAGCGCACAACCGGTCGATTGAGGGGCAGTCTGCACTTCCTAGCTTTGGCCATCACGTGCTACATCGCACCAAGACTCCCAAGGATGCTGAGCGCCAGATTCTTGGAAGATGGGTGAAGTACCGCTATGCAGCTCCACATTCTTCGATACCAGAAGGACATGTGTTGATTACCGAATCTGGGAACTTAGTTGCCTCTAAGGGGTTTAAGGATAAGGTGATAGACCCGCTTGAGCATGATGAGCTCAAGTTACCTGAGCTCGAGGCAATTGATGATGTTTTGAGGGATGCCGACTCCTTTGAATCAGGAGGAGCACCATTGAAGCGGCTAAGGAGTAAGACTGCAGTGAGATTCGTTGAAACCACTCTCGGAGAGTCGGCTGAGGAATACTCCAGAGAGTGTATCCTGACGGAGGACTACAGCAACACTGCCTTCCACCAGCTTATGAATCTTCTGATGTCAGAGGAAGGGGGGACACAAGATCGGAGAGGTGACTTGCGAGATAAGCTTGTGTTTGGAGCCTACTGCCATGGTGGTAAGAGGGGAGTCACTAAGTTGACCTATAGAAGACCGTTTACCACGCAGTTCCTTAATCAGGTTTTGTTTCGTGGTCTGGGTAGGGAAGGCTACAACCCAGATCCGAAGTGGTCATCCCTGATGTTGATGAGATCTGGTGATGTGCCGGTGCACCGGGATTACAGGAATGAATGGGGCTCCAAGAATCATGTTCTCTGTATCCCGGGTGGGTTGTTACTTTGGACAGATGAGGCTTTCGATCACTCGAAAAGGGCAAAAGTTGTGAAAGAGCCTGATTGGAACTCATCAAGTGTTACTGCTGTTATAGGTAATACCGTATCCTTTGACCCCCGGGCACCTCATGCGGTCAGGAAACAGCCTGAGTGGTTGTTAGTGGGATATACACCTTTGGGAACTAGGAAGCTTTCTGGGGAATCAAGAGATTATTTAAGTGCTAGAGGCTTCGATTTGCCGGACGGGCATGAGGAAAGCGTCCAGGTTGCCATGGTTAAGGGGTGTGATGATATTGGTTATCCGGGTGACGAAGTTCCAGAGGAGGGTGACCAAATTCCGCAGCCTGCCAGCCCAACCTCAATTGATTTGGAACAAGATCTGCAGCCGGATTCATCCACCACATTGGTGGGATGGGATTTCTCCAGAGGAGATCCTGCGGATTTCCCGCTCGATGCTTTGGATGGAGGAGACCTAAGGGAATTCCTTGAGCAGAGAGGCGTTCCATGTGAGTATGAGCGTTTGACCCAATTGGGTGTTGATTAACCCTCTGACTTGCAATATCTGTACGAAGAGGACCTAATAGAAATGGGACTTCCTAGGATCCATGCGCAGCGCATTATGTCTGGGATTCACCCTGAAGGCACGAGGAGGTCGGATAATCCAAGTCTGTGCGGCCTACAAACCGGTGAGTCCAGGCTTCTCAGCAGGGATCAGATGTTTATACCCAGAGTACTTCAGAACCGCACTCTTGACCCAAATTGGCAAGGAGGGCCGCCAGTTGAGGGACTTGGGGTGCGAGAGCCTATTGGTGTACTTGAAGGTGAGTTTCCCCTTCAGGAGGAGGGATATGAAGTTGGAGTTTGGGAAGATGAGTGGGTTCCATTTGAGGAGTTAGGAATCTTTCCATCGGATTCACCAGGAACACAGGTCAATGATGTCACGGATACCGCAGCATCGAGTTCGGATCCGTTTGATTTTTGCATACCGGCGCAGCTACCAAGGGTTTCAGCGTCAAGTTCCGATGTCTTTGCA